GGGCGCGCGCGTGCGCTCAGGAGCCAGCCGCAGGCAACGCTTCCCCGCCGGCCTGCTGCGTGGAGGCGCGGCCGTGGCGTCGGCTGCGGGGTCGGCCGCGTGGGGTTATGGCGGCTCACCAGGGGCGCGGGCAGGCTTGTTGCGGTGTCGGGCTCGACGTGTGTCCAGGGGCAGGGGTCGTACAGGTCACCGGGGGTCAGGCCGGTCCTCTGAGGGAGCAGGGGCGGGCAGGTGGCGTTGTGAGTGCGCGTTGAAGGGGGGCCGGGGGGAGAGTGCTGCCGGAACGTGGGCAAGCGCGTGCGTTACACCGGCGTAATCCCTTGGGTGCGTCCGGACGCGCCCGGACGCGCCTGATGTGAGCGCAAACCCCAACAAACCCACACACAAACACACACACACACTCTCTCTCTTGCTCGCGGGCTCACAAGTGCACATACACACAAACACAGATGCGTGTTCTTGCACACACGCATGCACGTGCACACACGCACATACTTGCACACACACGCGTACAAAAACTAATACACGCACACGCACACACACACACACGCGCGCGCGTGCGCGCACGCGCGAGAGCACGCACCTGCCACTCCTCCAGCTCCGCCTGCAAGTCATTCACCGGCCGGTTGGCGCCAGTCTCGTGACTCCATGTGAAGGACTGCGTTCAAAGAGTCGCCAAGAGTTCCACCGCAATGAGGTTGGCGCCGCTCAGCAAGAGGAGACAGAGAGGGGGTGCAACCGGGTGCTCGCGGCGATGAAGGCAACAAGGGGCCAGGGGCGCCCGAGGGCGTCTGATCATGCGTTGAGCAAACAGCCTAGCAGCTTGCGACAACGGGCCGCCCACCCAAGCGCCTGGCGAGCGTCCCCAGAGGGGTGCTCGGCCCCTCATCGCTGCCTGCCCCCCCTCCACACACCTGCGTCACGTCCACCGCCGGCGCCGGCACCGGCAGCAGCGTCGCCGCCGCGCTGCCGCCCGCCGCGGCGGCCGCGGCGGCCGCCGCCGCGTTGACGAGGTGGCGCGCCAGGGCGGCCGGCGAGAGGCCGACCTCGGCCGCCTGACGTTATGGGAGTGGCGAGGTGCAGGACGCTTATTATGTGATGAGGGGCAGCAGGGCACATGGTAAACCCCTGGAGGTGATGACGCGCAGGGCACACCGACAGGCGATGCCCACAACAGTCGCGTCGTGCATGCGCCTTTGCAGTGTACACGCTGCTCCCATGGACGACGCCCCTCTGCGTGGCTGTGTCGGCCTTCTTCAAACATCTTCACAGGTAGGGATGCAAGCAGCAGGACTGGATTCGGGTCAAGACGGTCGCTGCCGCCGGCGCCGCCCAGGCACCCACCTGCTGCAGGGCGGCGCCGCCGCGCACGAGCGGTGGCGCGCCGCTGACTCCCGCGATAAAGACGGTCGCCTCCCCGTTGGCCGCCCCAGAGCAGCGAGTGGCGGGGTTGAACCTGCGGCGCGGGTTGGGGACGGAAGTTTGGCGGACGCGGCGTCGATGTGGTTGCACTCCACACGGCGGTACGACGACTCAGCCGCAGTACACCTTCCAGCCACCACAAAACCGCCCGCATGTACAGAGTCGACATCTAAGACACGAACAGGCTTGTGCATCTTGCGATATTATTCACAGGAAGGCAGCGAATACGATTCGATTCGTGTGATTTGCATGCAAAAAAGCAGGGCGCCGCGGCACCTTGAGAGGTCGAATGTGTCGTTGTCAAAATTGTAGTAGCCGCTGAGCGGCAGCGGGTCCGCCGCCTCGTCAGCCTCGTCCTGGGCCACCAGAGCCGTCCAGACGTCTGCGGTGAAACACGGGTGGTGGTGGTGGGGGGGGCGATGAGGGCAGGGG